AGCTATGTCACAATTCGGACCTAACGGGAGGCGGCATCGAGGTCCCCACATAAACCAAGTTCAGAGGTAATTCTGACCCTTACGCCGCTCAAACGCTGTTCTAACGATCAAATCCTTAAGCATTTAATGGTGGATAACCCAGGTCTTCCCAATGGCTGTTGGCCTGTTCACCGCTTAGGGCGGTGGGCAGCTCTAATAAAAAAACGGGACCAGGAGACATTCCGACTATAAGCGCTCTTCGGCGCCGACAACATTAAAGAGGGCCTATGGCCGAAACGTCTGCTGGACACTACTCCGATGAGAACTTGAACTTGAGAGATGAGAACTTTCTACCACTCCATACGCGCACAAGCCAACAGCCACCAGAAAAAACCTTCAAGAATCACCCGGTGAGCTCCGTGAGCATTCACCCGGAATATTCCATATTCCACACATACACACGCACGCACGCACGCACGCACGCACGCACACACGCACGCACGCACGCACACACACACACACACACACCACACACACACACACACACACACAACCCACACACACACCACACACACACACACACACGCACACACGCACACACACACACACACACATATATATATATATATATATATATATATATATATATATATATATATATTATATATATATTTCAGCGTTGGGTAGACGTGCAACTTTTTCAATTTATTAGGGCCTTGACCTAGTAAATACATTCAGAGGTAAACAAACCCAAGTCGGCCGTGCTGGAAAACTGGTAACTTCAGGAGCAGCAAAGGCCCTCATCACCGTGCCTGCGCACCAAAAGCATGCACTGCGCAGTAACGAACATAATCCTGGCCTCCCAGGGTGAGCGCCCGGGGAGACGAGCGCTCTCTCGCGGTCCTGCCCCCTGCCGGGTGATGTGGGGCGCCTACCATGTAGAAGAAGCCGGCCATGCCGATGTAGTGCAGGAGCAGAGCGGCGGCGAGCGGGGGCGGCCGGGCCGCGTCTGCGCGCAGCCAGGCGGCGGCGGCGGCCGTCTGCAGCGCGCAGCCGGCCCACACGGGCAGGTTGTGTGGCCGCACCAGCAGTGCGCCCCAGCAGCAGCCAGGCCAGCCGCAGCCGGGCCAGCGGCCACGCCCGCGTCCGGCCGCGCTGCCAGCGCCGCCGCAGCAGGTACAGCAGGCGCGCCGCCCACAGCCGGGCGCCGGCCGACAGCCAGCCGGCCGCCAGCAGACGGTCGTCGCCCAGACCGTGCAGAAGGAGGCAGAGCGCGCCGGCGGCGGCGGCCAGCCGCGGCCGCTCAGCGCGCACCAGCAGCAGCAGCGCCGCCGCCCAGACGGCCGTCAGCGGCGCGGCGCGGCCCGGCGCCGTCAGCCAATCGCCCAGATCGGCCCGGTGAAGCCACTTGTCACCCGTCTGGTTCCAGCGGCGCAGCAAGGCCGCCGGAGAGAAGGAGCGCGGTCGGCGAGGCGCGCGCGCCGCCGCCCGCCCGGCTCGGGCCGCCGCACACGCCGGCGCAGCTCGGCGGCCAGCAGCAGGAGCCAGGCAGTGCTGCTGAGGAAGTACCAGGTCTGGTGCTCCTCCTCGATGAAGCTGCTGGAGCCGAGTGGTGACCAGGTGCAGGACGCAGCCGCCGCACAGCAGCCAGCTCAGCGGCGACAGGGCGCTGAGACCACACACGTCGGGTTGTTACGCGTCCCGTCAGCGCTACAAGTTAGTACCAGGTCCCGTCACCCAAACAAGTCAGCATTGCACGAGTATGCTCACGCACACCACCATCACCCGGCAACATCACCAGCAAGCAACGCCGTATCCTCCCACGGGCGGAATGGAGCGAACCATGGGCCGAGGACGGCGCGGCGGCGGCGAGCCGGTGCGCACTCACCGGCGGCGCGGGGCGACGGGCGGCGGCCGCGTGCGCTTGCACACAGCGCCGCCGCCGAAGCCAGCAGCACGGCCGGGCCGACGCCGGCGGCCGAGCAGAGCCGGCAGTGAGGGCTAAGGCCGCAGACCAGCAGCAGGCCGGCCAGAGAGCCGAACAGGCAGCCGGCGGCGAGCGGCGCGGACGGGCGCCCGGCGCCGGACGGACAGCAGGACAGCACCAGCGTCTGCCCGGGCACGGCGGTGGCGGTCGGTCAGACGCCCGGACCCTGGCGGTAACGCGGCAACGGCCCGCCAACACCAGCCGCAAATGAGCTCAGCGTGGGAGCGGCAGCCGTCCATTTGGCTGAGCATTATACGCGTCATCGAAAGCAAATGAAAAGGTCGAAGCAGTCATCAGACGGTGCGATACCGCGCTGAGGTACCGGTCTCCTTACCATGGCCGAGGCTACCGGCACATCCACAACAAACAAACTGGTCACCAATCAGCCGAATGGTCGTCGGCAGCACCACAGCTCAGTTCTGCATGGTGCACGGAGTTCCTGAGATTGTTACCCCAATATCACAGGCATCCCAGTCACCGCAGGTTGTACGGTTTCGACTTCCAGCCCTTTAACCGTGCCATAGCTAAATGTGACGTCACAGGGGACTGCGCCCGATGTGTAGGAGCTCAGCCAAGGACGGGCTGTCTCTGTCCCTCATCACTCACAGCAAAACGTGACCTTCACCATCTCTCTCGCCGGGAGTGCTGTTCCCTCACCGTCAGCTGTAGCAGGATGCCCAGCGCCATGGAGACAGCATCGTGCCGGGCGGTGACCGACAGCAGTTTGGACTGCATCCGCTGGGCGGCGCCACCGGCGGCCGCCGCCGCCCTTTCGACGGCGTCGTCGTCAGCGTCTGGCAGGAGCAGCGTAGCCGCCGCCGCCGACAGCACCTCAGCCTCCACCTCTGCCGCGAAGGGGTGTCGCTGATGGGGGATGGACACGAGCAAGGGGGGGGGGGCGACGCGGACAGGGACTTTTCGGAAGGTGCCGGCACCGAACCGGTTACGGCCTGCTGGAATTACAGAATTGCCCTAGGGACAGGAGACAGTGCAATCTGACACCCATGTGTGTGTGTCCACTGCAGGTGTCACCAGAAACGCAGCCTTTGTGCACAAACATATGAACACTGTACGACGCTTTAAGCGTCTTAACGTGGCGAAACAAGCCAAGCTCATTGCAAATAGAGAACAAGTTCCTTTTTTCAAATGAGCGGGTCTCAAACAATGCTGCTGCAAGGCCATCGCTCCCAGTGGCCGCCACCCTGCCTGGGCCCGGCCGCCATGTCTGCTCTCACCCGAGTCCGTGTGCTCCGGCTGCTCCTGATACAGCGTCAGCAGCTGCCGTCCGTTGTCCAGCAGCGCGCGGGCCAGCCGGCGGCCGTCCAGCGGCGCCATGACGTCAGCGATGACGCGGCCGACGCTCTCGGCCGGCGTGGCGACGCCGAGCAGCGCGGCCAACGTGGGCGCCACGTCCACCTGGTGCACCTCGCGGCCCGGGTCTGCCTGCAGGACCAGCGGGGACGCGGTCACGTGCAGACGAGCAGCCGGCCGCGGATACTTCGCCGAACGGGCGGACGGAACGCCAGGTGACGGTCGGCGAGAACAGTTAGCTCACAGGCACAGACAGCTGTCAGAACCGAGCAGCATTCTTAGAACCCAGGAACATCGTGCAACTATTACCGCGATATTCATAGGTAAAGCGTAACTAGCGTGCTTATCTTCTTTACCGTTCGTTAAATTCGTTGCAATTTACAAAACCCTACTTACCCCTCAGAAGCCATCCACCCACCCCTGACAGCAGCACACACCCACAAGGCAGTTTTCGGCCTGGCCGCGCCCACCGCCCGTCAGCGGCCAGCGCCGCCGTCACGTCGGGTGCCCCGGCGGCCAGCGGTCTGCGCCCACCTGCCGCCGGCCGGCGTACATCGGACTGACGAAGTGGAGCGCCACGCGCGTCTCCGGCGCCGAGGCGCCGCCGTGGCTGCCGGCCTCGCTCATGCCGTGGTCGCCGCACACCACCAGCACCGGCGGGGGGCCCGTCTGGCGGCGGCCCGGCGCCCAGTCAGACGGTGCAGGGCGGGTGCAGACTGGTCGGTGCACGCACGGTGATACACGTGAAGTGGAACTGAAAGTCGACTTACTTTGGGCGTAAGTCGAAAAGGTAATGGGGGAAAAGGAGGCCGTTGCATAGTGAGCCAGTGGCCGCAGCCAGCGCATATATGATAGGCACACCGGGACGACACCGAGTGTTATAAACTGACACTCGATAACGGGGTGTTTGCACTCAGTGGCTAACACAAACGCGGCGACGACGCCACCCTGGCGCGCGCGGCGGCCACGAGCGCCGGGCGAAGCAACCGGACGCCGCGGCGCGCGAGGAACGCAAGCCATGATCACGCGAATAAAAGTAAGGTACCAACACTACGAAAATTAGACAAAAATGAAATGAGTCGGACCCTCCGCCCCGTACCGGTCTTCACCCGCCGGGCCTACAGCCTCTAACCCGCATCGATCTTCACCGGCCAGGCCTACAGTCGCATCGTCTCTACCCCGCGCCGATTTTCACCGGCCGGATCTAGCCTCCAACCCACCCCGGTCTTCACGGCTCGGGTCCGCAGCGTCGCTCACCGTGCGGGCTGTCAGTCCGTGATACAGCTGCTCCATGACGTCACTCATCTCGGCCAGCTTGGCACCAATCAGCGGACTGGCCGGACCGGCCAGGTGTCCGATGTGGTCCAGGCCGAGGTAGTGCAGGATGAGCAGGTCCCAGTCGCCCCTCGCCAGCTCAGAGCTTAGGTGGCGGGTCACGTTGTTGTCCACCTGGAGCCGGTCAGTGGGTCATGATGATGTTCGGGGTCTTAGGATACACCGACCTGGGTCACTAGGTCAGACGGCAAGTCAAGGTCGCCATCCTGGGACCACGCACAGCCTGGTCAAATCCGGTCTTCTACAAGACAGAGTCCGGCAGTCAAATCAGGTCTACTGCAGGACAAAGTCCAGTAATGTGTGATGTGCAACAGCACTCGCTGTGGACCAGGCTGATAGTTTTTTGAATATTTAGTTTGGACCTTTTGAGTGGATGGGTCTATGGGGTCGGAGCTTACGCTACGGGGTGCACGTTGTGCGAGCCCTGATCCCGCCCCCCCCCCCCCCCCCCCCAATGGTGCAATTCTAGGTCAACGGCAGAATCTGATGGCGGAAGTTTAACGTGCAGCAATGACCAGCACGGCCCATCCTCCCCTCTGACGACACCCGACCTTCAGCGCGACTACTGCCACCGGCCGCCGGTCATACCTGTCAAAGGCAAATAGCAAGCGCCCAAACTGACTCGAACCCACTCTGCAACGGGTAGCCGGGTCGAAAAGCGAGCGTTCACTAAATGAGCTATCGAGGCAGACCGTAGTCTGTTTTGTCCTTGACGTGACGATGCGAAAACACCGACGCAGCGGATTTTTGTAGAGATGTTTCTATACGGAGACCGTGTCCTGCACAGACTGGTGGCGTCGAAGTCGGCCCCCGCCGCACAGCTCGCAGCTGCCCACCTCCGTGTAGTCGTTCACGAAGAACGAGTGAGTGCCCTCGTGGCGCAGGAACGCGTCCGGGAAGAGCCGCGTCCACGTATCGTCGCCGTAGAAGACGACGCGACGACCAGCACGACGCAGACTGTGCACTAGGCTGTCCTGCGCCAGCGCGCCGCCGTCGTAGTTCCGCAGAACGTCCAAAAACTCGGGCACAGTGCCGGTGGTCAGCGCCTGGCGACGGAGGCACGTGCAGAGGAACAGGACATTGAATTAATGTAAGGCTCTTAGTAATGGTCTTGCAAAACTGTTGACCAATATGATGGCAAATCTTGATTATATACTCTGATTACCAAGCAAAAAGCACACACACAGAGTCATATTAATTACATATTGTTTATTGCACCCACATCTGGTAATTATAAATTGATCAATAGCACAAAGCTGAGAAGTTGCATGAATGATCTCAAGCAGTTTGCATGGGCAGGATAACACTGCTATTCTTACCTTCACTCTGGGAAGAGTCACAGTTGGTGGTTGTGCCAGTGCCACATATGTTCTCAAATGCCCCATTGCCTCCATCTTGACTAGAAATGGCACTGACTCTCTGTTCACAGTGAAATCTGACCTCAGTGCATCAATTACCATCCAGGCCATCCTGTGTGAGGACCCAGAAGAGTCTGTGCTGCAAACAAAAATGTTCACCAACTCATTATACAGAATAAATGATTTACAGGATAAAACATGCAGGCCATTTATCAGTGTGGCACTTGCACAAGCACAAAAAACCTCCTAGGCAAACTACCATGTCTGTTAGTATATATTTATCTCAACTAGGATCCATGCTGAGCTGAAACTTTTAGAGAAATATTTATGCATCAAGAATGCTTTTGGGGAAAACTGATAACATATGGTTAACCTACCTTGCTGCTGATTTTTACATCCTGAAACCTGCAATATCTCTTGGGGTGGGTCAAGTCTTTCACAGAAATTATCATGCAGCCAAATCAACAGTCAACAGTTACATCTGCTCAGCAGCCATAGGCAGCCAAGTTATTGCACTCAAAATTAAAATAGAGCTTGGCAGCCTAATTTTGAAAACAGTTTTGAGCACTAAGTATTTCAGGATTACTGGCATGCTCCTTAGATAATGTGGCTGTCAGCCAGGCTGTGCTTGATGATGGGATGCCCAGAGCTGAGGTCGCACATTGTGAGCAGCTAACTTCACCTACACACATAGCTTACTTGCACAGTCGCACAGTTCATGTCATTTTGGACTCACACATTAAGCAATAATTATTTTAGGACAATAAATATCTCCCTTGGATACAAAACTGTAAAAAATGCATGTTCTACTGGACATTGCATGCATAGCAGCAACATTGCCCCAACTATTTCAGTTCATGGACAACATAAATCCAAACACTTAAAGACACACACATAGGCTGATTCATGCCTATGATCCAATATCACCAACTGATTCATTGCATCACCCAGTACGTTCCCGATTCTAAATTCTGACACGCAATAGGTAATCATCTCTTTCTCACTTACCTTTGGTTCCAAACCGGCTTGACATGTCCAATGGTTCTTGGTGTAGGAAAAAATCCTGTCATAAAAACTAGACAGCCAACTAAAAACGACCATGCCGATAATAAGGGGGATCCATACAGGGAATTCATCCTATCCTTGCATCACAAGTAAAACAAATCTGACCGGAATGTTGCATCGCAGGCAGCGTTATCCCTGCATGCTTTGAGTAAACAGATGTAAATGCGCTACTATAGTCTGTAAAGCACCATTTATGTATCCCTTCAAGGTTATTCTCAAACCTCCAATACTAAATTAGGTTTTTGGAACTTTCTGGCAAGGGCAAGGCAAGGGCAAGGGCAGCATTTTACTGCTTACTTAATCTCAAATGCAATAATCTGATAAATAAGAGACCAGGATAAACGCTCGCAAAAGCAGATGTAAAATCTATTCTAACAACATCATAGCCAGTATTTGCCTTTTAGGTATCAATGTGGCAGGAATTACCCACCACAGATGAGGGCTGACCCAATGAATAATGGGTAATGGCCGTGGCTAGGCATGTGGCATTGCCCAGCCAGCACCTGGTTGTGGCAAGCGTGCGACCCCATTGTTGCTACATCTACGTCGCAGACATTAACGTGTACATGGGGGGGGGGACAGTGTCCGTGGCCCGGGTGGCCAACCGGAACTGCCAATCAAGGGTTTGGTTGGATGGCGTAAGGGCCCGAAGGACTGGCTGTAGGTTACATAAGGATTCGCAGCCCGTAGGGTCATGGCCCGCAATATCAGTCAGAACTTTTCTTACACCGTTTGGGGACGCCTGAGACAATGCGGATGTGTCGGTCAGCTGAGACTCTGAACACCGAGCAGTTGGCTCCCAGTCAATCACTCTGCGGGCCCGTTTCCCAAGCAGTAGCAGGGCTGGGGGGGGGGGGGGATTTGCATTGGTTTAGGTTCCTGAAACAGTGTTTGAGGTCACTGTGTCGGTCAGGGGCCCAAATCCATGTCATGTTATTGGGGCTTTACAACACACTCAGCTGCTGAGGCTATATGCCTTCGGCCGCCTCTTACCCTGGCAAGAAGGGCGGGCACCGCAGGGAATCGAACCCCGTACCTCCGGTTTCCCAGGCGTGCAGTAGTTGATGCAGACGCGTTAACCGCTACACTACCGGCACCTTAGGGGGGAGGGGGGGGGGGGCAAAGTGCCCAATAGGGAGTCATGTGTCGGCTAATGGTTCAGAGTCGATCATGGGCTTTGTTTGAAGAGGTCCAAAGAGGGGCTGACTGGCTGTAGTTCGCATTAAGTAGCGCCCGTCACATTGCCTCAAATGTCGGTCAAAGGGTCACTTGCATCGGTTGGGAGCCCCTGGGACAGTGCGAGCCTCTACTTTGGCCAGAGACGACCAACGCCGAACAGCAGCCACGTGTCGGTCTTAGCCCTGGGGCCTATTTCTCAAGCAAGAGCAAGACTGAGCCTGTGATTTGCATAAAGTTGGGGCCACTGAAACCATGAGGGTGTGGGTCAGGTGCCTACAGTGTCTAACAGGGAATTATGTGTTGGTAAATGGCCCGAGTTGCCTCTAGCGGTGTTTGCAGGGGCTCGGAACCAAAGATCAAAGATCCTGTGTCAGTCAGGGGCCACAGCGTCTAACGAGGGTCCTGCGGCGGCATGTGGCCCCGAGTCGGTCAGCGGGACATATGCTCAGCAAGGATGGAGACGGGACCCCGAATGACAGAGGGCCTCTTGTATTCGTCGGGACCCTCTGACGTTGAAAGGAAATATGCAAACATATAATGAGCATTCACATTAAGACAATGGAAGACTCCTGTGCCATTCAGGGTCCCAGTGCCGCGCAGTGGGCCCGCCAAACCAGGTCCAGCATGGACCGTTAGGCCAGTCTGGAGTCTGTGTGCCAATTATTGAACCATCTGCGAGATCAGGGATGTTGTGTCAATGAGGGACCCCGCGTCGATTTGGGGCCAACCGCGCGGGTCAGAAGAGCTCCCGCTTAAGCGAGGGAGCCAACATGATATGCTATATCCCCTCTGAGGGCCTCCGGATCGGTCAGGGAATCCCGCCCCGTGTTGCTTAAACGGCAGCCGGAAGACACCTCGCGCGGGAAAGGAATGACAATGACGAAAGACACCTCACGAAATAGCCTTTCAGTCCTTGACCGGGAACAATATGTGACCACTAGTGCTCTTCTCAAGGGGAACCTTACCCGGGAAGAAACAGGAGACATGATTGGTGTTGTGAAGAGTGGATCGATATTAGATAAACGCTAACAAGACCATGCATTTTTGCATGAGAACGTTCTTCCTTTTGCGAAATCGATTAGCAAAACGCATTGTATCAAAAGGCTTGAGCTTGCGCACCGAAATCCTCGGGAGCAAGGACAACAATGGGCTGAGTTTCGATTTCCAAAAAGCGAACGACGTTGGTCATTGTAAATAGCACTAGACAGCGGGCGTCGTGCGCGCGGGAGCGACCGTCGTGAAGTAATGGTTTCGAATATCTTTCACAATTGATTCGCACCTTTTAAATGTTAGACTGGGCGTATCTTTCTCAGCTTTGTTGTCTTCTGGACAGGATAAACAGTTGCAGAGGCACGAAAAATAGAGATTCTACTTACTCTTCTAGTTCTATCATCTGATTTCAGCACCACTTCGCGGTGCTGTAAAGACCAATCCGTTTTTATCGTCGATCTAAAAACCGCACGCGTGAAATCTACACCAGGACTACCTTCTGAAGGCACGAAACGATATCGTTAAACGTTCAGAGATGCTTTTTCAGATGCGCCATCCTTCTTGTCCGCCCGTTGGCCACGGCTTAGTATTAGCCGCGGGACTGACGCTGCGCGTCCTTCGGAGACTGCATCGCCCGGCGTCGAGGTTTTTGTTACCAAGATTCACGAGCGGACGTGTTCGAAACTACGTCACATGATTTGTGTCGCTAATTGATTCCTACTGAATGCTGATCATTTCCAGACAAACATGGCTTGGCCATGCTAATAAAAATTGTTGACCCATTGCGATCTACGATTTGCATTTGCGGGGTCCCTAATATCTCTGGAGAACCCATGCAAAATTGCTGACGAAGCTTTTGAGCTTAATCGATTTAAAACAAGATCACTTGATCATTGTAGATTGGAGAGCGCCAGCGATTTATTAAATGCTGGCATTTGGCGCACGACTTCTTCAGTTTATAGACTACAAAATTCAGGCAAAATTCATGTGGTGGTAGCTTCTGGCTTCCACTTAGGTTGTACAACGAAAACAATTAAAAGCATGCCAAAGAAGTACACGCTCCTATAAAATTGACAACATCCATAATTTTTTTTGGAGGGAATCTTCACTATCAGGGGGCCCTTTCACAGCCCTATGTCCCCCCCCCCTGCCGAGGCTCTGGGTGCGCGCCTGACTGCAGGCTTTTTTTTAGCGCATCAAGTGTGAGAAAAAGGTTCTCATACTCAACCAATCCCCCATCCCACTCACCAAATACGTCCCCTCCCCCATTCACAGCCGTTCAAGCCGGCGGCGGGTACAGTTGGGGTCGCTGCAGGGATAACTTAAGTATCTTAACTGGGATGGGGGGGGGGAGAGAATCCTCACCAGTGAATGCCAAATCTCCCTTTCCCCAGCAAACCGCCAAACGCCACCGCATGCAAGATAAGACAGGTAAGAAATAGTGCGATTCAACCGTCGAAGCCGCGTAAAAATACGATGAATCCAGCTGGAAGGTCAGCTCAGATGCATCGCTCCGCACAAACGTGACGTCACGCGAGCCACACTCAATCGTAAGTGGGATGTGTCCTTTTATCCTGGGATCTGTTGGCGTTGGGCCAGATTGCCTCCGGTGACGACGAATGCATTGAGAAGTTCGTGGGGTTCGAACCCCGGTTGCGCCATGGCCCCTGAGCACCAATATGGTCTCTGCAGTCTCTGGTGCTATATAAAAAGGGTCCGGGACGATGCGCGTCGCGTTCCCTTCAAAAGGAAACAGGACATGTCCATGCAAAGGGCGTATAGGGTATTTCATAAATTGGGGCGAGGCATGATTCAACATTTGTACCTGAATACCGAGTTCAGGGCACCGCAGGCGTGCTGAGCTTCTTATGTGCCGTATAATAACATTTCTAACTTGCATGCCTACCAGGAACGTTTCATCGTCAACATTAAGTCATGTGCACACCGCATGCCATGCATTTGGTACGGTGGGACCCATCCCCGTTGCTTCTATGTGCACACACACCTATCTCTGCGCGCATATGTGCATACACACCTATCTCTGCGCACAGGGACTGACTCTTAAGCCTCTAGTAGGTCATAAGGCTAAACCCCAGCTTCCAACGCCGAGTCCGCTCGGCAAAAACAAACGCTTGAGTGCAAACGCACCGCCG